TTAAAAAAAATAAAAATTAATATTTTTCAATAAAAAATATAAAATTAATATCTTTATTTATATTTTTTTAATATTTTTTTACCGTTTATTTTATTTTATTTTACGAGGACGTGGTTTTTTCTTTTTTGAACACTACTTGAAAAAGACGTGGTTTTATTTACTTTGTCATACGGTTGATTTTTACCTCTTTCTCGAAGGTCGTTTTCATATCGCATTTTAACATGGGTCCTAATATTGGCTTCCCTATACTTTAAAGATAATTAAATTATAATATTAATTAATGTTATTATTTAATTAATTTAAAAAATTATTCCACCCCTCATCTTCTATTCTTTTTTCAAATTAAATATTCTTTAAATTTTTATCTTGTCTTGATGATTAAATTAAAAATTTTCAATAATGGTAAAGAATGTTTTGATTGGGAGGCGAGCTGTCGATTCGACGGTAGATGGGATGAGAGACTTGGAAGGGAGGCCTAAGGGTTTAAGGCCTTCAGGCAGCTGGAATTTTACTAATTCGAACTATCATGCTCAAGTTATGGACAAACATAATGAGATGATAACTAACGAGTGGATCAAATGATAAGCGGCTTGTTCCAGCTTAAGTAAGGTATCGAGTTTGAGACTTTGTGTACGCTGCAGTCCCCGCTAGGAGACTCACCTACCATTTTCAAGTGCGCGACGCGGGTCGAGTTCGGATTAGTCGGGACGAAGCCCCGGATATCGGACGAGAAACAAAAAAAAAATAATGAGATGACAAATACAAAATTGAATCTTAGGTTTAGAAAATTAGGTAAATTAAAATAATTGAAAATACTTAATAATGTAATTATTTAAATAATTTAATAATAATTTTTTTATCAAAAATAAAAAATCATAAAAAAAGATGACTATTGTAAAATAAAAAAAATCAATTAAAAAAAAAAGAAAAATTAGAGAGATGAATTGAAGTAATGCAAAAATACATTATATTTCTATTCGTTTTTTTCTCCATTTGTTCTTCATTTGTTCTCTAATCATTTGCAATATGACAAGCTTATATAGGAGCCAATAAGTGATAGGAGTTACAAGAAATAAATACCTACTAAACGAGAAGTTATAAAGGTTAACCTCTTACTAATAGAGGAGTTATAAAAAATCTCATTATTACCATTTAAATGCATAGAATTATGAAGTGTTAATCACCATTATAATTGCATGGAAATAGTGAAAGTTACACCATTATTTGGTTTGTAAATGCCGTGGGAAGTAAAGAGGTGAGAGTATGAAGAAGGCGAAACATCTACAATGAATTAATTCATAACACTCCCCTTTGGATGTTCACCTTTTATTATACACTTGTTAAAATGCCTTATTAAAAACCTTACCAAGAAAAAACCCAATGAGAAAAAAAAAAAAAAACCTTGGCGAAAGAAAACGGAGTACAATGCATATAATACTTTCCTTGAATTCAATGCATATTCATAATCAAGCAATTTATGGCAATCTAGTGTCTGAGCTGCTCAAAGTTTTAAAAGCCAATTATTTTGTAAATAGAATTTGTTGGCTTCTTATTTGAATAAACTTAATAAACATTATTTCATTATATATTTAGAATATTAATCCAAAAATATCATGTAATTACGGTGATTTTAATTCTATGTGGATATCTCTTTTCATATTGGCCAATTGTTTTTTCATCAACAATTTTCAATGAATTTGATCCAAAATCCTCGTTTTCATTGATTATATCCATCATCATTACATATGCAAGAATTTCTTATCAATAAGAATTTCATTTTGGTTCCATCTTCTTTTAGGAAAACCATAATTTATAAAGATCTCATTATTATATATAATTTCAACTTAATTTCTCATTGTTTTCAAGTACTTTAATCCTTTCTTAGGGTTATTTCCTTAAGAACTCTAAGAATTTTATAATTTAAGCAGTGCTAACATTCTACTTATGCTTTCTCTTTATTTTTATATTTTTATTTTTAAAACCATTTTTTCTAACACGTTTCTAGTGTATACTCATTTGCTAATATTTTAGCAACTTTTTTAATAGAAATATCAATATAAGCAGGAGTACTCAAAGCTTTGATATATGATTTATTACTTTTATTTTGTCAATATATGCATCTATCAATTGATAGTACATAATTTTGGAATTCTGATTTATATTAACTTATTTGAGGATCTTGGAAGATGCATATCAAGTTATCTACTGTCTTCCTAATATTTATTTCTCTCTCCCTAATGCTAAGAACATGATTCCTTTGGATTGACAATCAATAAACTTTGTGGTAAAAAGATCCATAGTCAACACATATAAACTCCAAGCTTTCTTTGGAATTATCAAGCCATGTATGCTCTTAACGCAATATTTTTCTTATTGCTTAAGGGACTGTTTTGTCACCTTCATATTCAAGCATATATTAAAGCCATAATATATCAAAATATATTTTAAATAATTGAGTATAAGCTTATATATCTCCTTGAATTCAATAGGACAATGAAGGAGATTATATTTTAATATTGTATTTGTAAAAGACTTGGTAATCATGTTCTCAAAGGAATGCAACACATGAAAAATCATTTCATGGCCAAGTTACATAGGCCCAAATCATTCTATGATCAACTTTCTTGTTAGCCCAAATGTTTGATTCCATTAGATTTATGTAAGTAATTCAAAAAAGAAAGCTTTTCAAATATGTGCCTTCACTCTCTCCAATTTTGGCTATGGAAGAAGCAAGCGGTTTTTACTTTGGTCATAAAAGAACTTTTAGTGGTAAAATGGATAGTTCGAGTTGATGCTTGCTTTCCTTTTCTCTCCATGGCACAAATATTCTATGCATCTTAATTAATCATTTTTCCACATTCGGTACATATCCATCTAATTAAATAATATAGCTTATATATGTTCTCAACCTTGAGTCTCCATGTTAGAGATCTCAAGTTTGAATTTTAAGATGGACGAAGAGGAGTTTGGGCAGGGGAGAGCTATCCCTGTTACAAAACCCATCATGTGATGTACAAAATACATATATATATATATAGCTGATAGTCATTTATAAAATTGCATTAGTGTAGCCATTCCTTTTAGAAATATTAAGGATTTCCTTGAAGAGTTGAAGTCAAGATTCTTTAAATTTTCTTTTTTTTATAAAGCATAGATTCTTTTTTATCAGAATTGAAAACATATTGATTCTCTATTCTATTTAAATATCTTTTGTCATGTCTCAAATTTCATATTGAGATTTTGAGTGTGATTGGTATATACTTGTCATAACCAAGCATTGTTTGAGTTTTTGAGATTCGTGGATTTTGGTTTAAAGAGTTGTTAGATTAGTGATGAGTGACAAGGTTCAACTAGGGTAGTTTCATCTTTGTTACTTGATTATTATTTTTTTTTCCTTTTATGCATATCTACCGTTATGTTTTATGTTACAATGTATCCTTAAAAATGAAATATTCAATTCTAGAGAAAAGCTTTACTGTCTTAATTCCTCTTTTGATGACATAAGCAAGAAGCTTTATCCCCTAGAAGTTGAGATTTGCCTTTTTTTATTTCACAAGGAGATAAGAATCTGACGGCTGTTCTATGTTAATTTCTACCACCATGTTTGTTCCCTGACATCTTTGACTAATGGCATTTTCCAAGTAGAAATCACAAATATTCATTTTAAAGTTAGTTCACACGCATTCTATGTGGATTTTAATAGCAGGGTATATAATAAAACATTTCATGTGAACATGATTCAACAATTCACATGCAAAGTTGGAGGCTCCACCAGGAAACCAGCGTTAATCTTGCAACAGTAATCTAGAAATTAACTGCCTAAAATTCATGTCAGATGCATAACATTGATAACCTGATAAAAACCATGCTGTCGCTAAATCATGTCCCTTCTCCTGTATCTAATAATTCTAATATCTTTCTTGTTAGAGATATTAGAATATTTGGGAAATGAACTATTAAAGGAAATAAGTATTAGATTTTTTATTATGCCCAATACTCCACCTATCAGAATATTTCCAGTATGCATTTCTTTCAATTCTCTCTTCTAGCTTTTTCCTTTTTTAATTTTCTTAAAATTTCTATTAAACTAGTTTCCCATGAGTATAAATAGACATGTAGGTCTTCTTGATGTTCATCTTCCCTTGTTCAATCTGCCTAACTTTGTGGTCTGTATTCAGATGGATTTTACGTTGAAAGTGGCAGTTTTCCTCACCTTGGCTTTTATTTCATCTATATTAGTGCAGCCTGTTTCTGGAGTTAGAAACTCACAATTGTCAAGGAGGAAGAACAGGGGCACGTATGGAAATGAGGATATGGTCACTAACTTGCCTGGCCAGCCAGCTGTAGACTTCCGGCATTATGTTGCTTATGTCACCGTGGATGAAAAGAATGGAAGAACACTCTTTTATTGGTTTTATGAGGCTACAACTCGCCCTGATGAAAAAACACTAGTACTGTGGCTTAATGGAGGTAAGCACATAAAACGTAGTTTGTACTGTTGACAAATTGCTCTTTTCCTCTTTTAGCCATTGCAGCTTACCTGCTCTAGGGCATTGGTCATGTTTCCCTTCAGGTAGACTACATTGGAATATGTTGGCCAAACAATCCAGATAATATATTTGTTATCAAACATGTTGCATGCTTTTTATAAAATCAACTTCTTATGGTTGGTAAAAAAGTATAATAGGCCTTTTTAAATGTCAAAACTAATCTTTTATCGCATATTGTAAGTAATCTCTTGTTACGGTTATTGCTTTTAATTACCATCTAATAGCAGTGGTCCTTAATTGGCTTTCCTCGTTCCCAATAATTCAATTTGTTTATTTCATTCTATGTTGTTCATGTTGCAGGCCCTGGATGCTCGTCTGTTGGATATGGAGCAACACAAGAGATTGGTCCTTTCTTAGTGGACATTGAGGGAAATGGAATTAAATTTAATAACTACTCATGGAATAAAGGTCCAAAGTTCAGAACCTATAATTGCTCTCACTTGCGTTTGTCCTTCTTTGCTAATTCTTTATTGTTGTTGTTAATAACTTAATATTATTGTTGTACTACTCTAGGCATATCTGTCATGCATCATAGATATAAACTATTTGTAGTTGCTCCTAAGCACCTTTTATGGTGCTCCATGATTGCAAGAGCATAAAAGAACTTTTAATGTCTGTGATGGTGCAGAAGCTAACATGTTATTCCTGGAATCCCCAATTCGGGTTGGCTTTTCATACACAAATACATCTACTGATTATGATAATCTAGGAGATGCCTTCACTGGTGAGTTGAATACAAACTTTTGATGCATTTAAATATTGCTGCACTGTTGTTTTAAGTGTCTTTATTTTAAAGCATCCCCTAGAATGCTTACATGTATTGATTTATGCAAAAATTGAAATGTGAGAATTTCTGACCTTCATCAGATAAGCAGAGGACCTTGAAATCAAACTGATTTGTATTTGTCTGTTGTTTGGATTACTTACACCAGCAAATGATGCTTATACCTTCCTACATAAGTGGCTCCTCAAGTTCCCCTCATATAGAACACGGACCTTTTACATCGCAGGGGAAAGCCATGCAGGTTCTTCTTAACAATCTTCTGGTGCATATGTGTTATCAACTTGTCCTTGTCTGCCAATTATTCTCATTGATACACATTCACAGGAAAATATGTGCCAGAGCTAGCTGAACTCATCATTGACAAGAACAGTGATCCCTCCCTTTATATTGATTTGAAGGGTATTCTGGTATGGAGTTTTCTTTCTTTTCATTTTTTGTCCCCCATCACTAGCAATATTTTCCATTTCTTGACAAATAGCAATATGTGATTCAATGACGTGCTGGAATATCCTTTTTGTCAATAGCTGGGAAATCCTGAAACATCTTCTGCTGAAGATTGGAGAGGTCTGGTAGATTATGCTTGGAGTCACACTGTGGTATCTGATGAAACATAAAATATAATCAGCAAAAACTGTGACTTCAACAGCAGTGATACATGGAGCAATCCACATTGTGAGCAAGCTGTGGATGAATTATTCAAACAGTATAACGAGATTGATATCTATAGTTTATACACCTTCTTAGTTTGCATTGGTAATATAGCAGGTTCAGATGATAAGTGGATGAAAGTTGTGATGAGGCGAGCATCCAACATGGTGATCATTTATTCTCCTCAGCAACTTACATATCTTATATAACAATAATATTGTTGGAGAAATTCTTTAAATATTCCCAAGCTGGATGCCCTCATATGTACTTAAGTTGTCAAGTTGAGAAGGCACTGAAGCCAATTCATTTGTCATTTATTCATTTTTGTTTCTTTTAAGTCACATTATAGTATTGCCATTACCTTGTGTGATAGTTTTTGTTCGAGTTCCAAAAATTTCATGAATTTTTGTTACCAGGTGCCCAGGATCCTGGGAGGTTATGATCCATGCCTGGATTCTTATGCAAAAGCTTTCTACAATAGACCCGACGTTCAAGAGTCACTCCATGTTAGCAACGGTCACCAGCTCAGAAACTGGAGCATATGCAAGTAAGGAGTTACATCTTAAGGTGAAGTGATGAATCTGGTTTTATGATCCTCAATGAACAGTTTCATTATATTTTTCTTGTGCAGTCACACGATGTTTGAAAATTGGTCAGAATCAGATTCAAAAAAAATCTGTTCTTCCAATATACAAAAAGCTTATTGCAGTTGGAGTTAGAATATGGGTCTACAGGTACTTTGCGCTTGGCATTTGTTTCTTGCTACAGCATAGTGATTATTTTCTTGATCTTATGGTATTTGTTTCTGAGTGGGTCAGTGGAGACACAGATGGAAGAGTCCCTGTTTTGTCCACACGGTACAG